GAATTCTGCGAAAAAAAAGTCAAAAATTTTGAGAAAAAAAAATCAAACTTCTGAAATTAAAGTCAGAATTCTAAGAAAAAAGTCAGAATTATGAGATTGAAGTCAGAATTCTGAGAAAAAGTCAGAATTTTTGGGAAAAAAGTCATGATTCTGACTTTAATCTCAGAATCCTGACTTTTTTTTCTCAAATTATACTGAAATAAATCAGTTGATTTAAAAAAAAACAAAATTTTTTCACATTTTACATTTATCCTCTTCCGTACTATTCCGTATTTCAACAGTGAGTTACTGCCCTATTTTTTTTTTATTCTTCTGTTTAGAGTTGCACAAACATAAAATCTGCCGAAACACCTGTCATTCTGATATAGATCGTTGAAAAATGAATCACCTATAAGTTGTGGACCGTCCCACCAGCTGCGTCGCCTCTCGGTCTCCTCACCCCTACACACACACACTCACACACAAACCAGTTGGTCACGGTGGTCCAAACAGGGACACGTCAAGAGGCTTTAGTGAAGTTTCTCTGAGAAAATGATGGGGACTCACTGAAGACATCCTACCCTCCCCTTTAAGGCAGCAGGCTGCTAAAGGAACCGAAAGGTATGTCACAGAACTATAATTTCCACTAACGTGTCCGCAGCTCTGTGTTAACGTATATTTTCGATTTTACCATCGGCTAATGGTAGCTAGCATGTAGGCTGGCTAACCTGCCCTTTAGCCATATGGAACCAATTTGACTGCGAGCCAAAATGACAAGACTTTCCTTTAATTTTGTCAAATACGAGGATGAACATCTAGAGTCTTCGTCGAAACCATTTAAGGAGCGAGTTTCTGTCATTTTCTAACGTTCTGCCGCCTGCCATTAACGTTAACGTAAGCTCTCACCGAGCGATAACAGTAAAGCTAGCTAAGCTTAGCAGACCTTCTTTTCCATTCATTTTCCTCACTGCTCCGTTTCTCCATTCAAGTTATCATAAAGGGTATGTATAAAACAGAGAAACCGTGTCGCTTTCAAAGAGAAACCGTTTTCATTTTCTTTTTGTATTTCCGCCTGTTTGAGCGGGCTTTACGTGACTGGTTGTGGTTTGCAGCTTTGATTTCTAAATTTCGCATTTCTGGTTATATTTATTCATTTTCACTATGATTGCAAAGGTAGATGATCACATTAGCAAATACACACAGACTTGAATATTGATGATCTGTGTATTTTGACGTTTTTAAATGGCACAAGTTGTAGCCTACAGCCACTGCTGACGGTGAACAACAAAACACCTGTCTGAGGATGGAAATTAAAACAGCCTGCAACTCAAAAACTGCTCTGCAGGGGATGGAATATTAAAATGGTTTGAATGTAATTAAGTGTCTAACAACCATTCCCTTTTACTATTAATAAAGCAGTAAAGCTAAAGTCACATTAAACCAGGTACATTTATTTATAAAATTAAATTAACTACCAATTTACTTAGCTATTTGATCTGCTTTGAGAAGACCTGATAATTTGAAGGAAGTGCTATCTTCATTTTTAGTTAATACATTGATGCTTATATTAAAGCAGTAGCTGGTCATTAATTTTTTTTTTAGTTTTCACAATAATTAGGAGAATACCCAGTGCTGCCCTTCCCTCACCCCTCCGTCACCTTTTGCTGTTCTCTGTGCATGAGTTGGTTTAAGAGCTAAAGTGGTTTATCACTTATTTTCTGTCCCTTTTTTTGTTTAGACTAAGAAAACCTCAAATCTTCCTTTAAAAACAGAGAATATATATATTTATTGCTCATAATCTGATCCATTAATTTCCTCTCTCGCTTTGTGTTTTTCCCCACCCTTTGATTGGAAGTGTTTTGTGCACCCAATGGAACAGCTGACATGTTTGTCACAAAGGCTTGGTGGGTGAGCCTATTCCGAAAATGGCTACTGGAACAGAAACCCAGCCTAACCGGCTAATATGAACTCCCATTTTTATTCCATAAAAAGTACTGTGGCAGAGATCATACTAAAATTGTTATCACAAAAATAGTGCCTTCAGTCAAAGGCTTCTCCAGAACCAGTGCATGATAGACCACTACAGAAGATCCTTCCTAACTACTATTAATAACATCTGCAAAAACTTGTATAAAAAAACAAACAAACCCTGAGTTTCTAAAAAAGTTTAATTGTTTTTACTCAAAACTGTTATTCTCTGAGAAACTCAAACATTTCATGGAAAGGCTAGGAAATATTAGAAAACTTGTTCATGCTAGATTGGTTAACCTCTTGTTACCTTAGCAAACCTTTCATTCTTTCAGACATGTAGTAAAAGAAGTTGAAAAGCATTAGTTGTAGCTGACAAAAGCCATTGCTTTTGTCCTCATACTTTTGACTGCTTTGCCTTGTCACTCTTTGAACTTAAGGGTGTGCACTGAAGATGCCAGGTCAAACTGAAAGTGATGATAAAATAGAAGTCATGAGTCATACTGGGAGAAGGAATTTGTTTTGCTCTAGCTTTAAAGAACAAGGGTTGGAATATTCTCTTTATACAACAAATAAAAAAAACACTTATGAATGAGGTTGGATTGTTCACATCAGATTTAACTAATCTCTCACTGCCTTGCAAATAACTTATTGCCATCAGCAAGGAAATTTAGTTCACTGTGGAAAAAAGCAAGGAAGCCATGATTAAGAGAAACGCTACAGATTCTTAGCAGTCAAGAATGACTCCTGTTTCTGGTGTTTATCGTGGTTCAATGAACCTCATGTAATGAGTTGGCCGAGTTAAGTCCAGTTTAGTGTAATATAATGCCTGAAATAGTTTAACATGACCAGTGAAGTCAGTGACTTGTTTTTCAGCTGGGTCACAATCCTGATTACTTTTTCTTCACCAGGTTAAATTCAATTCGATATGGATGACTCTGGATGTCAGGAACTGTACTTTACTCATATTGGAATTTATTTGATCATAAGTTTTTTTACATTTTATTTTTGCCTTTAGGGTCAAGTTGAATTTTCCTCTGTTTATCTCTCGTAAACTGTATAGCTTGGATGTTTGCAACCTTTCATATTGTATATTATATTGATCTTTTATCATTAGGTGGGAAATTCATTCCACATACCACACTTACCTGTCTACCTGTTTGGAGTTATAGTAGAAAAGAGTGCTCTGTCATCTGTTTAAAATACTGAAGTTCACTTATGAAATGGTTATAATTTCCCTGTAGATGATTGCAAATATTAATCAGGAAAACTATCCAAGAAGCTTTTGATACAAAAAAAAACAACAACTTATGGCACCCGGGTCCCTGCTTGTTCTTTATAGATGTTAAGTTTTTACTCTATATGTTAGAGCTCACCTTTATTATAGTAGATTGTAGCTTATTTTGGGGAGTGGCAGCCTAGTGGTTAGGGCATCGTGCTTGGAATCCAGAGGTTCTGAGTTTGAGCCCCACTCCCACAGACTGACACTCTGGGTGTCTGAGCAAGGTGCTTAACCCTACACTGCTTCCCGGGGGCTGCTCAATGGCAGCCCACTGCTCCTAAAGGGGATGGGTTAAATGCAGAGAGTTCATTTCGTTGCTCTGCACTTGTGAGAGTGTAATGACAATAGATTATATAATTATTAATTTAATATTAATTATTGGATTATTCAGGTCCATTTTGTTGTAGATGCACTAAATCAGTTGTGCTCATGTCCAGTCCTCAAGAGCTACCATCCTGTAACTTTTAGATGCATCTCTTCTCTAGCACACCTGAATCTAAAGCCTCAATCCTCTCATTTACCTCAGCAGCATGGCATGGTAATGCAAGGCATGGTAATGAGCCACTCATTTGATTTAGTTGTATTAAAAATGGTTGCATCAAAAAGTTGCAGGATAGTAGCCCTGAGACCGAACTTGAGCACCTCTGCACTAAATGCTTGTTAATTCAAACATTTTAGTATATATACGAAACTGATGTCGGCATAAACATCCGATTCATAACCTTGCATTGATATATCAGGATATATCCTGAGCTATACTTTCAAATGATATTCTTACGTTTTGATTCCAACACCATTAATTTTGTCTATTGTATACCAATAGATAGCAGGTCAATGCTTATATGGACACGATGAAGTAATGCAGAGACAATTATGAAAAGCGTCCTTATTACATTTTAATGTTGCGAGATCCCTTTTTGCCCATAAATGCTATTCAGTTATTATCTTTGCTATACTATTTAAAAATAATATATTTTTTAACCTTAGTGGAAATATTTTTTGTTTTGTTTTGTTTAGGGTTAATTGCTGTTTTCACTTTAGAACGGGTTTTTATCACTTTGGGAAAACAGGTCTGTAGCTCTCAGCTCTGTAAGCCCTTGTTTTTCCTTTGGTTGCATTTACAAAAGACTGAGCAAATGAGACGGCAGGGTAGAGGCCCTTTTTGGAGCAGCCTCATGCATTATTTTCATCTCAGGCAGTCGTGATCCAAAAAGCCAGGTTGATCCTGCAGGCCAGATCTTGGAGAGCTCTTTTATGATAACCTGTTTTTGCCATTGCTAGTCGGACTGCATTTCATCTGTTAATTAGTCACATAAATGATTCTAGACAAACTGAGTTGGATGTAATGGCTCCTAATGTTCTCATCCCTTCGATGTTTCAGTTTGTTTTGCAATCACGAGTGTATTTGGTCAACGTTTTATTGATAATCAGCAGCAGAAAATAGCTTACTGGTAAAACTATAGGCTGACGTAAGCAAATTGGGGTCGTTTACTTGCACCACCCCTTTTGATAAGCTGCGCACAATAACAAGAACACAAAGTAAAGATTGTAATGTACATGTGACAGAAACACGTAGCAGCAACAAGCCCCCCCACCCCCCCCAGCTCTCACTCTTATCAGGAGAAAACATTGCTTAGACATGCAAAGGAAATGGCTTCACCTTATCAGCCATACACTGCCACTGTAAAGATCCGATCCAATTGGCTCACATTTTCGTACCCTGGCAGCCCACTGGATCACTACAAGTGCACATTCTGAAAGGAAAATCCCAGAAAGATGGCAGTGTATACGATAGTCTTGCACAATCGTCACCAGCTCCAGATAACATATCTGTATTTACCCCAGGGGCGATCATTCAAAGGTGAGTAGGTTGGTCCTATTGAATATTGGATTCAGGATGGCAGTTTTAAACTGTCTTAGGAATCCAAAGGCAAAAGTTCTTGGACTTAGGAGAGTATCCTAAGGTCTGTAAAAGTTAGCCTTTACTTCACTTATTGAGATGAAGAGACAGAGATCCTGTACAAACTGGGAGCTCATGGAGAGCAACACCGAGGACAACACAGACAACAGTGAACCTGATGAGCTGACCTCTCTGAGGCGGACTTGGTCCCTGGTGAGTCTGACTTGGTTTTCAAATTGGTCACATAATAAAATAGATGGCTGGAGACCCTAACATTGTTTAGTTTGCCTGCTTACCTGACTGACTTTTTAAAATTGTAATTCTAATGTTGCAATGCCAACCCACAGCTAACTGGACTCGGTTTTGTTAAAATAGGCTGAGTTTGCAAGATGTGCATTACCTGATCTAGTGTGTTTTAGCTTAGTTCAGAGGAATCATGGAGCTCACTCTTTGAAACTTGGAAGACTGATTCTGTTTAGGTTGTTTTTCAAGTAATTTTAAGTTGATGTGGAACAGTCAATTATTAACTCTTGGTCTTTATTTCTGTTTGTCTGTTTCCCTCAGAGGAGCAGATATTTGCATTTGCAATTAACATATTTTTTATTCATCTTTAACTGGGGTTGAAATATTCGGATCAATCGTAATTAATTGATTATTGAAATAATCGTCAACTAGTTTAGTAATTAATCGTGAAATGAAGAATAAAGACTAAAATGTGCCTCTAGCTGACAGAGCAACCCACTTGGAGCAGTAATTGTATAAAAATTGTAAAAGTATGTATGTATGTATGTATATATATATATATATATATATATATATATATATATATATATATATATATATATATATATATACATATATATATATATATATTAGTGCTGTCAAAATTATCGCGTTATTATCGCGTTAACGCGAGACCATTTTAACGGCGATAATTTTTTTAACGTGAGATTAACGCTATGTGGTTTTATGGTACAATTTTCCAAGTACATCCCGCTGCAGCCTGCGGGAAGGCGGGGCTATTTTCCCCCAGTGTATGCATTTCTCATAGGCTTCGAGAGCGGAGCTCCTCAAGGGAAAAAGACGCTCATACACTGGGTAGCGCTAGTGCCTTTTCTTTAAGCCCCACCACCAACAAACAAGTTGAGTGTCTGGTAACTAGTAGCAACCTGAAATACGCTGAGAAAACAGATTACTGAGGTGAAATGGAATCTGCTACGGCACTCTTGCCGTCTGTGTACGCAACAGGTCGGTATCGTGTGTGTGTGTGTGTGTGTGGGTGGGTGTGTCTGTGTGTGGGTGAGTGGGTGTGTGTGTGTGTTCTCATTTTTGTTAAGAGGCTGAAAAGTAACTTTCTAGAGTATAGACTACCTCCATCTAGTGATGTCGGTCTATTGATTTTGATGTATTGATTGAAAATTGTTCATTATTACCTTGGTTAATTAACATCTAATGTTAACTCTACTAAATTTTATAGCAGAAGGGTAAAATGCTTGTCTTTGTTCAAAAGACTGTATTAACTGTAAAGACTGTCTTTTACATCAGCCTGTTTTCAGGGCCTTTTTTTTTGCCTACGTATTTGTTATTTTTGGCATAAATCAGTATCTGTGACCTGTTTTCATTTTAAAAAAAGAACATTGGCACAAACCTAGCCTGTATGTATTTTTTTGTATGTCATCGAGAGCATTTAAATGATTTTCAATCAGGAAAAAAATGTGCGATTAAAATGCGATTAATCGCGAGTTAACTCAGGCATTGATGCGATTAATCGCGATTAAAAAAATTTAATCGATTGACAGCACTAATATATATATATATATATATATATATATATATATATATATATATATATATATATGAATTAGGGCTGCAACAACGAATCGATAAAATCGATAAAAATCGACTTTTAAAAGCGTTGGCAACGAATTTCATCATCGATTAGTTGTGTCGCGCGATTAATGCGTCATCCGCTGCCGCCATTATCACTGCCACTTGACTGAAGGGGAAGAAAAAAAAAGATACGGCAGAGCGAGTCAGCGCCGCAGGTGCGCAGTGTTTCCAACTCAGCGACTTAGTCGCTATATTTAGCGACTTTTTAGACCCCTCCAGCGACTATTTTTTTTTTAAAAAGTGACTAGCGACAAATCTGGCGACTTTTTACGGTGTCATTGGCGGCTTTTGGAGACTCTTACGTGAAAGCATGTATCGTTCCTACTCTTGTCCTCCAGCGGCAGCTGCTGCCGTGGGGCGCCTCCCCTCTCCCAACCCCGTTCTCCCGCAGGAATCTCTCTCAGCGCTGCAATCAGAGCCGCAGGATGTACTTGGAGAAGCATCCCGCTGCAGCCTGTTTCAGCGTCCAGACTGCAAATGAAGTGCGCATGTGCCGGGATTGACGGTGCAAATTGATCACAATAATTAAAATAGCCTTTATAAATCTTGCAAATTATGAGGGCAAGGCTTTTGAAGTTTAAATCTTCTGGCAAAGATAAAGTAAAGAAGATCCTGCAATTTATGGAAGTAAAGTATAAAATCCAGCAAGATCAGTAATATGTCAATTAATTATATGCCACATTCCCATGTAAATATCTGTCTTTGGAGGATGTATTTTTTAGCACCCCTAGTTCTCTCATTTTTATTCCAAATACAATTTATAATTTGAATCACAGGGCTATTTTTATCTCTATGGTTCAGTATTTTCTCAAGTAGCAACTTTAACTGCTATACTTTCCTGTCTTAAAAGGCAGAACTCTTCTAGTAAAAAACAAACAAACTCATTTGTTGAAATGGGGGGGCCTATTGTTTGAACCCCTTAGGGGCTTTAGAAAACAAAAATGCCTTTTTTTGCGCTTTATGAAACAAAGTACACTATATTTTGTGGATGTACAGCTACATTTTTCATGTAAGTTTGCGTAGTTTTAACACAAACATTTATTTTTCATATTGCACCAGTACAGTTAATGAGCAACATGTAATTGTGTGCTTGTTTGTTCTGTCTAAAATGTTTATTTTGGAAAAAAATATTAATATTATAAAATATAATATATATATATATATATATATATATATATATATATATATATATATATATATATATATATATATATATATATATATATATATATATATATATATATTAAATAAAATAAAAATATTTTTTGTCCGATTCATCGATTAATCGATAAAATAATCGGCCGATTCATCGATTTTTAAAATAATCGTTAGTTGCAGCCCTAATATGAATAAATGTTTTGCATTTAAGATAAAAAAAAAAAAACGACTTTTTTGTCTGTCAATATGCTGTATCCAGAACTCTGCAAGTGGAAAAGTTTTGGTTGCACCTGGTTTGATGCTGTAAAAATCTTCTGTAAGGAACCTTTGGCTATTCGATTATTAATCAAGTAATTGAAAAAATATTTGACAGATTAATCTATTTGCAAAATTATTGTTAGTTGCAGCCCTATCTTCATCATCGCCTTAAGTATCAAAACTACTCTATTGTGTTTATAGGATTTCTTACACAACAGACCCATTATGTGTCCAGTATTTATAAAATGTATTTCTGCCTTAGTTTAACCTTATATTGAAAGTCATATCTTACTCAACTGGCAAATAGTTTGAACCTTAGTGACACTAATGACAAAATATGCAGCACCTGATTTACCTGCTGATTAAAATGAATGTATCAATTTATTTGAATCTACTTATCTTCTATTTGTTCAGTTTATATAACAAATGTGCTGCTATATGACAAACTGTTTTTTTAATCCAGTAAATGCCCAATAACATTTTAGGATATACCTTTTTGATGCACTAATTGAAATGTTTGTGTAATTCTTTACAGATTTCTAATGTGCTACCGCTATCTGGAACCAGTTGCTCTTTTTTTTCTTGTGTGGTCAATGTTTGTTGTTTATAATTGTTAAGAATAATCATAGAAGTCTAGATTTGGGAAATCATAATCAGAGGGTCAGTCCAAAAAGGAAACTAGAATTAAGTGCTGGTCAGTAAAAGTCTTAACACTGCTTCTATAATTTGATTGCATTCACATTATATGTAACAAAAACAGCATTTCTGGTCAGCGGAAAATGTGTTACAAGCATAATCTTTGGATTCGCATTGAATGATTTAGAGGATCGATTTGTATGCTAAAATGTAAAAGTCTTTGGTGGAAAACATCAGAGTTCTCTTATTGGATAGGCTTTCTTGAATTATCTATATCCCTATATTTTTTTTGGATATTAAAAAATATAATTATGCATTATATACTAGAAGCCTATTTTTTAAATCTAGAACCAGGCCCACATTTGAGCATTTTAACTTGTATTTACATAAATGAAAATGCTGTTTGGTTGTGGATAAATTGGTGATGGATGAGTTCTTTTTCATTAACCTTTAAGTACACAAATTATCTCCTTACTCCACGGGGACTACCATTGCAAAATTGCCCATATTGTCCTCCTCCTGACTCCCCTGCCATGGTGAGATTATGAACAAAAGGTTACTGTGGTGTAGGAAAATTTCAGGTCATATAAACATGATGAAATCAACAAGGGGAATTGTTTACCGTCTTTACCAAATTAGACCCTGACCCAACAAACTGAAATCATGTTTATTTGTAGTTACACATACACACAGTTGGTGACACGGTACCAAGGACTTTATCAAATTCAGTAAATAGGCCACCAGAATACAGGGCAGTTTGTGCTAGCCTTGGCCTGCATGCTATTTTCTTAGATTGGGTCATTTTAGAAGACAGGAAAGAAAAACCTATTTCCATTAAAAATGTTTCTGAGGGTCAATGTTGTTTTGAAAATAGTTTGACTAAGTTTGACTTTTGCACACTAGCACAGCAGTATATCTAAAGTGCCCTTATGTAAGTAAGAGTTATGGCTATAAACACAATGTCAGCTGCTTCCATTTTTTGCAGAGCTGTGGGATCTCTGTTTAGGTTATCTCATTGTTTTGGTCCAGGCATTTGCTGCTCTCCGATGTTGTTCGTGTTGGACAATAGCCAGAGATAGGATAACAATGCTCGCTGTCAGTCTGTATGCCAGTTCTGAGATAAAACTGTAGATGGGGGTCCTAAGGTCTGAGAGCAAAATTCATGGTTAGCTCCCTAAAGAGTGATGACTCTGACAACACTGCATTGTTTTATATTTTGAAAAGGTTTGACTTTAAATAAGACTAAAAGTGTTTTTTTTTTTTTTTTTTGTTTTTTCTTCCAGACACACACCATGAATTACGTCGGGCAGCTGGCTGGTCAAGTTCTCGTAACAGTCAAAGAGCTGTATAAGGGCATCAATCAGGCCACGCTTTCAGGCTGTATTGACGTTGTGGTTGTCCGCCAGAGAGATGGAACCTACCAGTGTTCACCGTTCCACGTGCGCTTTGGCAAGCTTGGTGTCCTGCGCTCTAAAGAGAAAGTAGTAAGTAGAACTTTTCTTTTTCTTTTTGCCCCTTCTTTCCACACTTTATATTGGTTTTTGGTTTAACATGCCTCTGGAAAATAGATTTCAAACTGTATGAAATGATTACCTTGATTGCATCTAACTGAGCGATGTTTAACCATTTCATTTAATTTCCTTATTTATTAGAAACATTTTTACAAGATTTCTGCTTTCTTTGAGACAATCCAGCTGGTGATTGCTATTAAAAAAAAAGTTTTCTTAAAACTGTCATATTTGGCACAAAAGATTTCAAATGACCCTCCGAAACAAATTGTTTCAAAATCAAATGCTCTTAATTGCAATTAAGCCTAGTTTTATTTTCTCCCAGAAAAGTAATAAACCTTTGATATGTATATGTAACATTTTTTACTCAAGGTTACAGCAGTGTATTGAAGAAACCAAAACCATATTTATGGATCTACCACTCGGGTCAAACAAAGGTTTGTGTTGAATCGAACAGCAAAAACCCTTTAGCCATCAGTTCGCAGCGTCACAGTATGCATACAGTGAAATCAAGCTCTCTAAAAATGATAAAACATCGAACATACCTGCCCTTATTTTTTTCATCTTACCTGGATCCCTCTTGTGTGAAAATTGTGGATGTGTTCCATTAAGGACATGTTGTAAATTACATAACATTGCACTTTGCTCCCTTTAGCTGATCTGTTGAAGTCCTTTTTGTTTTTTTTTAATTACAAGAAACAGTAAAACGTATCTTATTCTTAATTAAAGCTACAGTGTGTAATAATTACAGGGATATACAGTCAGAAATGTAATATATTATACATAACTATGTTATTTATCATCATCTACGAGCTCAGCCTCTTAACCTTAATATTTGCGTTGCCTTAGAATTCGTTATTTATAATTACATAGGAGCGGGTCTCGCAGCCATGCAGGCAGACATCTTTGCGCTACGGCAGCGCAGAGCCAACGAACTAGCGATTGCGAGATCGCCCATTACGCTCGAAAGTAACTACGGCAAGTTGAGAGAGATGAACTGAGACGGTACTGAACAATAGATGGCAGTATTGAAATTATCTATGTAAACAAACCTCATCACTTGAGAAGGTAGGTGATGCGGATGTCGTGGAAGACATTTTGTCCCGTAACGCTCGCCGTACTGTTGGGGGGGAGAAGCGGTGGGGGGGGAGATGTTCATGTTGCTGCGGTCTGCAGTCTGAACGTTAGATGTCGCTGAAAATTACACACTGTAGCTTTAAAGAGTAAATATATTACTGCACTCGTTTTCAGCTGTTCTATTTTGACCTACAGATGTTTCCATGTGTTGACATCCCTGAACTGGATGTATAAGTTATCAGCAGACCTCTCTAAAACAATACTATAAAGCTATTTGAAACACATTTTGAAGCATAGCAACATCAAACCTGCAGGACGGTGATCCTACAGAACGAATGTGGAAGAACATGACCCTGCATGTCAATTCTTCTTTTTTTTTTATAAGAGTTAAAAAATAAAACTAATAAGATAATTTTTAGTAAGTTTTCATCCAAATATTTAGCAAAGATTCAAACTTATTTTTTTTTTTTAACCATAAACTGAGTACCTGTAATAACTTGTTAAACTGAAATCCAAGTCCTTTCATGTAATACATATGATACTTGAAGGTTGTTTTTAAGACATCTTTAATGGGTTATCTACTTAAAACTGATTATGTTATACTCCTGTTTTTTATTCTTCTAGCTATTAGGTTACTGGAGATCCACATGTACCCTCCTATACTGTTTTTTTTTTCACTACAGTAAAATATGCTGCAGTTTATATAATCTCCTCAGCTTGCTGGCCTTCCATTTAACAAGCGCTTAGAGGTCACAACATGTGAGCCATCCAGTAAATTCCTCTGTTTCCAGAACGAAGGTGTTCCTTTTTTTCTTACTCTTAAAAAACATTTATTTCTATTTCTACCTATACCCCAATCAGCACTGGCTTTGGAACAGTTTGTTTTGTAACAACTAAACACCACATTGCTGTGGTGTTTAGTTGTTATGGAAAACCACCTGTACAGAGAAGAGATGAGTTTAATTGAAATTGGGTAAACTGAGTTTGTATTAATTATAAAAGGCTTTTCATGCGGGGTACTGGCAGATCTTTTGGTACGTTCCCAGAACAGTCTTAACTGATGAGAAATATATTATTTTAATGAGTGTAAAAATGCTTTTAAATCAATGCCCAATGTATGTGCTGTTTAAATAGTCACTTGTAAAAAAAATAAATAAAAAGTTTGGCTATTTTCCTTTGGCTTACTGCAAAATTCTTTTAGCTTGCTATACACTATACAGGAATAATTAGTTTAGATCTGACTCGGTCTACCCACCTAGGTTGAATGCTGATGGACCTGAAAAGGAATGAATGAACTGTTTCCATGGCAACTGCTCTACAACTTTGAATGCATGGGGGAAGGAAGAAAAGGTCCACAAGAGCTCTAAAAGGGCTGTTGTGTAACGAACATGCATACCTGTTCCCAGGAGCAGTTTTTGAATAAGCCAGGCTGCTGCTATGTATATTTATTGTATTTTGGGGTTTATTTCATTAAATTTATTGTTTATAAGATGTAAATTTTCTGAGCATTATTTTACGAGTCACTATTTGGGAAAACCCAGATTTTTACCTCTTGTCAGAAAAGCAAAGGAAAAATTTTATATAGTTTTACAATGCAGCTTATATCTTTTATTTTGTGTTTTGCAATATTCATGTAGATTAAATTAAACAAGTGTGTGTGCACAGAATTAATGCCCTTATTAGCATCTGCAGGTACTCATATCCTTTTCTTTAAAGTAGATCGGTGAAAAATTATTGACAATGGAAAAACTTAGTTTTTTCAAGAAAATATAATCACTGGAAGTGAATACAAACTTGCTCTGACTCTGAGGATTAGTAGAACCATCATTTATTCTGTCTCATTAATAGTTAGGCCTTGAGATTCAAAACCACCCTCGCATTAGTTGCTTTAGTTTCACTGACCAGGTGAAATGTCTTCTTTATGCTGTAGAGAATCTAAATTTGTGGGAAGAGTAATGACCAAACATAGAAAAACACCAGCAGGAGTCTAATAACCAGAAGGACTAACAGAATAGTCTGGCGGCTGTTTTTAAACCAACCTGACAAACTGGTGTCATGTTACAGAGCATTTGTGTGTCTGAACCAACCTGCTCTGTAGTGTCTTCCAGATGTTACCTTTTTTCTTATTTTATGGCGGTGTTAAATTACAGTACAGAATGGGCTCTATTGCAGTGTAGTTTCCCCAGCGAGCTTTAAAAGCTTTGTTTTAATGGCAGCTCCACAGAATATAAAAGCCCCAAAGACATGAATGTTTGTAAAAAATTCTAAAGCCTGGTGGGACACAAGCTAGTGGTAAATAATTTCTGTGTGACCTATTTTATTTCAATATCCAGCTTCTTAATTTTCCGATTAACCATACAGTCCTGGGAGGGAAAGCTTGAGGTTGTGGTTGATGGATAAACAGGAATCTGCCCCCATGTGAAAAGTTAAGGAGGCAGTCTTTTGGAAAAGAAAACAGAAAAATGTTCTTGTTCAACCTTCAAGAATTTCAAAAGCCTTTTGGTTTGTATTTTCTCCTGTTTTCCAAGCTTTCAAGCACATTCAGCTTCTGCAAAAATGATTTAACAGCTACTCATGTAAAATGGCAGCGGAAACAGTTTGAACATATCGCAAAAAAAAAAAAAATAAAAAATAGAGCTTTTAGTCCCGAAGCCTTTTGTGGCCAGTTTAGATCACATTTTTTTTAGAGTTTAAACCTCAGATACAAGTTTTTCTTTTTAAATTTCTCCCTTAGAACAGTTATGTAAGATGATAAAGGGACAGTAATTAAAGTGTTTTTTTTAGCCTTTTTGTCTGAGTAGTTAAATTCTTTTAAAAGGAGCAGAGACGATATTCTGCTTCTGTAGGAGAAATGTGTTGCTATAAGGCAAGTTTAATTTTGTTTTAAAACAAAAGGAAAATAAAGGAAGAGTAATGTGGCTTGACTCTCTAGACAATTAAGGCGCCTCTCTTAACTCTTCAAGTTTTTCTTAAACCTTTATTCCCATATCTAGAACATTTCCTGATGGAAACTAGTCAAAAGGTTGAAAAATTCTGATCTTTTAGCTTCTTGGTTTTTAGATTGTGTTCCAGATGTCAGCCTGTATTTTCTGTTAAATGTTTTCAGATTGACATTGAAGTGAATGGAGATCCTGTAGATCTGCATATGAAGCTCGGTGACAATGGAGAGGCCTTTTTTGTCCAGGAAGCTGAGGAGGAGAATGTAAGCATTCCGAATACACACTTAATCGTTTTTAAAATTAGTCTGTTTATGACATACAAATTAAACTGTCTTTAAGATTTAAAGAATGCATCAGGAAAAGTAAATGCAGCAGTTCAACAACCCCTTAAAAAAAAACACCTGCTGTTGTTTTTGGCAGACCAACTGTTATTCAGTCACTTATTTGACTGATGGTTGCATAAGTTTTTTCCGCTGTGACAGATTCTGTACTGTATGGTATTCATGTCATTATGCCTCCTAGTTTTGGCTCTTGCTTAAACTTGTAGCCTTTCGTTGATGAATATCCACTTCGGCAGATTGTTCCTGCTCACCTGGCTACCTCCCCAATACCCACTGAGAGTCACCTATTCTGGATCTCAGAGGTTGAGAACAGGGCACCTAAAGACCCAAAGGATGATCCTTTAGACCAGGAAGACCCACCCGAGCCTCCTGCTCCCAGTGCCACTGCCACAAAAAAGAAGAAAAGAAGAAGAAAGAAGCACAAAGGTGACCCCCGCAGAGAGGAGCTCACCCCACCAGTGTCGGTCTCTTCTGGAAATTCTGTTGCTGCTATTGGTGGTGCCGTGTCAGGCACTGGGCAAAATGACGAGATTTTTGAGATGGACCTCAGCTCTGATGAAGAATCGGCACCACATGTATCAAGGTAGTTTTAGGTTTCAAAAGAGTTATTTGTAGAATCTTTTTTTTTTTGCTGAAGGGGGGGCATTTTGATCATATGTTTACTTTGCATTCTGGATGCAGGTCTCCTTCAACCTCGACAATCAGGGACATTGACCCTAAACTGCCTACAACCAGACATAATTTGGAAGGTTATCCGTTGTCTGATGGTGAATGGCCTTTAGGCGATGGGTATGTATAAAACTAAACTTTAGTTTCTACCTTTTGTTTAGCAAAGATGCATAAACTCCCCTATATAACACGCATTGTTTGTGTTGCACTGTTGGTCTTTTAGTCATGGCTTGTCTCAGGCCTTTTCCCCAAAGAGTGATTCAGAGCTGGTGATGAAGTCTTCAGAAAGTTTGCTCAGGGATGAGTCCCATATGCAGTGGACCTGGGGAGAGTTTCCAGAAACAACCAGGGTAAGCTCCTCTTTCATGTTATATTGTGCTGCTACCATTTTTAAATATATATTTTTTTCTATCTTATATGAACTGAAATACCATTTAATATTCAGGTCACAAAGAAGGAAAAGCCTGAACCGCTAAAGACAGTAACCATCACCCCATCGGAAAACACCCACTTTCGTGTCATCCTGAGCTCTGAGGCCATGGAGGATGAAACAGAGCCTGAAAAGGAAGATGGAGCCTCATCAGTCTGTGCCATAGTCAAGCCTGAGCCACGTTCCCCTGTCACCCCCGTAACAAATCATAGTCTATCTTCTACAAGCTCCGTACAATCTATGGGTCCTTTGACTCCCACAGAGCCTCCTGAAGTCCTTCCATCCAGTGTGACCACATCCACCCCTTCAAACAGTCAGCAGACTGATTCACCCTCTAAGAAGAAAGGTACATTTGGTTTCACAAAATGTGGTTTGCATTTTATTTAATAGATTTGTTTATATAGGACTAAAAGTTTAAAACTCCGAAGTGGACATAAAATATATTAATATCCTATATACAATCTACACATACTTGTCGAGCCTCTCCTGAATGACTGAGCTACTCACCCTATTTCTAAGGGGGAGCCCAGCTAGCCTGTGGAGAGAGCTAATTTCAGCTGCGTGTATTCAGGATTTCATTCTCTTGGTCATGACCCAGATTTCTTGACCATAGGTGAGGGTAGGAACCTAGACCTATCGGTAAAACGAGGGCTTTGCCTTTTTGCCCAGCTCTTACTTCACCACGACAGACCAGTGCATCTATCAAACTTCTCCTCCATTCTCCCCTCAGTCGTGAACAGGACACCCAGATACTTGAACTGTTCCACTTCAGGAAGGAACTCTCCTCCAACCTGAAGGGGACAAGCCACCTTTTTAGGGTCGAGAACCAGAACCTCAAACTTGGAGGAGCATATTCTCTGGCCTGACCCCTTCACTCTCTGCTGTAAACCTCTCCTCTGAATGCTGTAGGCCTTGGCAACCAGTAGAACCACATCATCCGCAAAAAGCAGGGGCAAGATCAGTTTTTATCATTTTATTGTTTATCATTTAACTCTTCACTATTACGTTATTCTTATGATTTTTTTTATAAGGCCCAGATTTGTGACAATTTTGTCCATAATCTTTTTGCTGCTGTAAACTACAGAATGGGTGGGGGGAGCAAAAAATGTATCAAAAGCAGTTTATAAGAAAACTGGCTCTACTCACAACCTAAAGTACATCAACCCCACAGTGACACATGGTGATGGCAGCATCATCCTGTGGGTAAGGTTTCCATACTTAAGAAAAACCTTACCCATAGGATGAAGCTGCCATCACCATGTGTCACTGGGAAAGGTTTTTCTTAAGTAGGGAAAGTGAAACTGGAGCTAGATCTGGAGCTATTATGCCTGTGGGGTGTTTATATTAAAGCATATTCAGTTAAGAGTGTTTAGCAAGATTTGAATATTGATATTTCACAAGGTTGTTTGTAATGTACACCAAAATGTGTATTTTATATTTTTTTGTTGTTATTTTTATAAGATATATTTCTTTTTATTTTCACACCAACCTACTTTGGTATATGCAAAACTGTATGACTTATATTTTTCTAACAGCTTGTGTTCATTGCTTTGATTTTTTTTGTAATGGGTTAGTTTTGTTTTCCTGCACCCAAAATATATATATTTTTTAATAATTTATTTTTGGTTATAATATGATACATTGTAAAAACCTTTAAGGGATTTTGAAGAAATGTAAAATAACAAGTGCTTTTATTTTATAAACACAGGAGTCCCAAAGAGGAGTCAGCATCAGGGTCCAGAGGATATCTACTTAGATGACCTAAATGTACTGGAACCCGATGTGGCTGCAAGATATTTTCCTAAGAGGTTTGCTAATGCAAGAAGCACTTAATACTTTGATGTATATGTATATGCTGTTTATGTAAATTGGAAATATTCACTTTCAAATTGCATTCCAATGAAAAAAAAACAACAACAGTATTCTTACTTTATTGGTTGCCCTTTTTTCTGAAACTGTTCTGTCCATCAGTGAGTCCGAGGCAACAACAAAGCAGTGGATTGACTCTGAGATTCGCTCAGGTTCCCAGTCTCCACAGTCTGTGGGTAGTGCAGCTGCTGACAGCGGGACGGAATGTCTCTCTGACTCGGCCAGTGACCTCCCTGATGTCACTCTTTCTCTGTGTGGAGGTCTCACCGAAAATGCAGAAATATCCAAAGGTCAGCAGAACAGTTTCCCAGCTGATTACGCATAATAAAAAGGCATTTTAAACACTGTCCTCTTTCTCTATAAAAAAAAAAAAACATCTCTTTATTTTATTCGAAGTGCGTATACACCCCCTTAAAACACCTTCACTTATATTAAGTAAAAATAATGTATTGTCAGATGTCTCACTTTACCACTGTGTGTTTTTAACTGTGTTTGCAGAAAGATTTATGGAACATATCATCACATATCATGAGTTTGCTGAAAATCCAGCAATAATAGACAACCCCAACTTGGTAGTAAAGATAGGAAATAGGTTTGTAAGTTTTTTTATTTTATATAGTATGAAAGCCTTGCTTTATGTGACGTCATATGACTAATGTTTTTGTTTCTTTTTAGATATTATAACTGGACACTAGCTGCACCCCTGATTTTAAGCCTACAGGCATTTCAGAAGAATTTACCAAAGGTAATTTTATCATTTGAGCATTTATTTTTTGTAAATAAATATAAGGCGTAATATAAGGACAGTATGAGCTTGGGAGTAAATAAACATTTCCCCTTTTTTTTTATTTTTCTTTAAAGGCTACAGAGGAGGCCTGGATGAAGGAGAAGATGCCAAAGAAGTCGGGTCGTTGGTGGTTCTGGCGAAAAAGATCAGATAGTACAGTTAAACAGGTATTCATATAAATTCTCTCATTTGTAAAGGATGAAATATTTTTTTCTTAAACTACATAATACATAATTGTTCACAAAATCCCAATTTCCTTCTTTAGTCTGAGACAAAGATGGAAACCAAGGAGGAGTTTCAGTCAGAAGATGGAGAACCCTCTAATTCTCAGGAGAACTTGGATTTACCGTAAGTCTTACACATGAATGTTCTTTTGAAATATGGAATTCGAAGAATATTGCTTAACTAGGCTTAGAATTGGAATATGAAAGCTTGTGAATGCAGGTTTATCCCTTTAAACTAGAGAACTCAATATGAGAAATATACAAGTTAAATTTACAAATAAAATAACATTTTTCAAATAGGGTTGCCATCATGGTTAATTTGATATGTTATCTATTTTCTGATTAATCAAGTACAACAAAAAAATTTTCCCTAAAAAAATTGCTGTTAGATTTTTGCAACCTAATAAAATGACAAAGTTTTACACTCAGAAATGTAAATTATGTTAAATGGCCACCTCTATCATGGAAAATACACAAATTCAAGCTTCCATTATTTTAATGATGTCATACTCAAGGTTTTTTTCACAGCAGCGGTCACAGCAGTTTATCGCAGCCAAAAATGCTTCTTAATTTCGGTTTTTAAAGTTAATTGGTTAAAACTGCAAAATAAATGGGACTTGAGTTGCAGTTTTAGAAGTGTGCTCTTTATAATAGAAATTGTGATATCAATAGTTGAATTTATGTAGCTGCAACCGGCAGTTTCAAGATTTTATTATGCCAAAGTGGTCTGATATAGAACTGAATTTTATAAAATACATACAGCAATGCTGTATGTAACAAGAGATAAAAAAATTAACCTTGGATATCTAGAGTGAAATTTAATAGTGATAAAAAAAAAGAAAGTTTTAAAATGTTATGCCAAAAGATTATTTAAATTGACATACATAGAAATGTATATGTCTGTGCGCATGTGAATTCCGGTCAGTAAAAAATGGCTTCTGGTATTCACATTATCTACATTGGTAAATGTAGTTAAATGTGATGTAGTATAATATAATATAATTCATCTGAGCTTTTGCCTAAAATTAGCAGATTAACACTTGCTCTATGTTTTTTTCAAATGAATATTTGTGAAAATGTTGGGTGGCTAAACAGCTGTCTCACCTCAGAGAGTATTTAACAGCGTTAAAAAAGTGATTTCAAGAATTTTTTTCATGGTTTCCTGGCTCATTGTGAGCCCCACTGACCAGCCTAACTTACTTTTGTTTCCCTGTTGCTCTGCTGCTTCAGTCTATAAAAAACGTACAAAATGATAAACTGACATCTTGACTAGAGTTGGGCCCAAAGAATCGATTGGTATCAGTTCTCCCACTTCAGTTCTCCAGGAGTCGCTCAAATTTTGTATATTTGATTTTTAATGTTGATGCCCAGTCCAGCAGCCATAAGAAAAAGCTGCGAAACGCCAGCAAAGAAAAGAATCCAGAGGAGTGTGTGTGCAACCATTTGTTTGGGAAGCAGCATTCGATAGTGTGCCTTAACGATAAAGGCTTGATCAGTCGGCAATGTGCAACACTTATGATGGGATTATATCCAAAATAATAAAACACCATCAGACTCAGGATGAGAGCCTAGTGTGACCAGACGTTTCTATCTGTGCAGGACTGTGTAGCATTCTCCACTTCTGTCCCACCAGTCAAAACAATGTCCTGCATTTTACTGGACCAATTTAGAAAAGAAAATTGAACAAAATGTTCACATAAGCTTTTCCTAAGTGCAAAGACAACAGAACTGCAGTCAGTGCTTCATGTCGTGACCAACCTGCTCACGATGCTCCTTAAATAGAACAGTTAAAGGATTGGAATACAAAATACGACAGAAACTACATTTAAAGAAAAGAAATTCTGTCCCTACAAAAAATTTTGAACAGTGTCTAACTACGTGAGGCCAGTGACAGGTGATCCTCAGAGAGGCTTTTATCAAGTTTCTTTTTCAAGCTGATACAAGGGGATGTGATGTGAAGTAACTGTAAAATTGTTTCTAAAGAACTACATACAGGAAAACCAGATCTGTCCCACATAGGCATCCTAGCTATCCCACATTAAATTTTTTTTTTAGACCTGGTAATCCTATGGGAGCCTCGTTGTTGACCTGCTGCGCTGGTTTTTGTGCTAAGGTAGGTTCCTGGAGGGAATTTTTTCCCCAGTGCAATCATTGGCCAGCTTTTGCAGGGAGAGCAGAGCCTTTTTTGCACTTTTAAGCCTACATGTTTTTGATGGGATGAAGATACCTTTAATCTGAATTGGCAAGACTTCAGATCTTATTTAGTGTAAACTTAATTTAATTTCGGATCTGTTTCAAATAATGAAACTCTTTAATTGAATGACTGAGTATTAAAATCTGATCGTTCTTCACTCAACCAGATTGAAACATCTCTATTTAAATGTTTACTTGAGCTGAACATGTGTACCTTTCTAAGTACAATCCATGGCTTTAGTCTTCAGCTCCAACACTCAGCCTAGAGCCCCAGTCGGAATGATATAAATAAAATAATAAAATTGTCTTAAAGTGCAGCATCAGACACTGTAAATGTGAATGTGTTTAAATTAGGTTTTCAAAAAGAAACTTTCATGCGAAAGTGTTTCCCTGTGAATAGAAAATTTAAAAGATTTGTATTAGTTGGTATTGTAATCGGTTTATATTTATATCCGAGTTGAAAATAACCATTTGAAGTCTTATAGTAATCTTTAAAACCTCAAGGAATTAAAATTCACAAAGAAGTTAAGACTGTTTTATCGAGAACCAGAATCGTTCCAATTAAAAGGATACCCTACTGTATTCTTGACACTATTTAACTTCAACTGTTTTTATATTTTAAGCGTTTTTAACTTTTATTTAATGTGGTGAAGAATCTCAACATAACTACTTTGCCTTGTAGCCCCAAAGCAGGAGAAACATCCAGTGATGAAGAATCTAAGGAGGTCAGCGCTGTGTCTTGCCAAGAGAGGCTGCAGCCAGGAGAAGGACACCATTCCACTACACACACTTACAGGAAGTCACTGCGTCTTTCCTCAGATCAGATAGTGAGTATATTATTGCATATAACTTTCTTATATAGTGTTTACTTCAATAGCATCCATTATTTTTACTTTAAAATAGGTCTTTCATGTTTAATTGCAGTTAATCATTTACACAGTTTTTTTTTATGAAATTAATCCAGTGTAAACCTAACTGTTGCATTATCTAAGAATAAAATGTTTCAGAGCGCCCTCTGCAGGCTGGATATATTGCCTTCATTTTTGTTTGCTTTGCTACACTTGAGGCCAGTAGGGGGCTCTAAAGACCTGTACAGATCTTTGCAGGAGAGGAATGCTTATGTTTGAGTTTCTTGTGAATGGGGGGAAAAAAAAAATCTTTCTCCAGATGGCCTTACATTTCATATCCTGCCTATTTTCCCAGGCTAGTCTTAAACTAAAGGAGGGGCCAAATGATGTGACATTTAGCATTACCACCCAGTACCAGGGGACCTGCCGCTGTGAAGGGACCATCTACCTGTGGAACTGGGATGACAAAGTCATCATCTCTGACATTGATGGTACCATCACCAAGTAGGTGGTTTCTAAAAATATATATATCAAGTTATTTAAGACATAACTGTAAAGTTTAAAACTTTGAAAGAAGGGTCAGTCATGCATTTTTCTGTTTACTGATTGTCCACAGTGCAGCACATATTGTGTCCCTTCTTTAAATTGTCTTTTTGTATGAATTAATCCACATCCACCGCAGCGCATATTTTTAGAAACTACTATTTATGCCCCTGTCTCACTGGAGCCTCTTTGACTTTTCCTTCAAAATGGAGTTCTATTTTAAAATGAGTAAAGGACCAGATTGTCAGTGTTGGATCTTGTTCTGTAAACATTCATTATGCCGAAGTGGAAACAGCTCTTCTTTTAGCAGGGCACCATCTGTAGAGCAGCACTGACTGATATCATTTTCAACTGTTGGTGTTATTTATTCTTGTCAGTTTAGATTATCATGTTAAACTGTAAAACAGACACTGAAGCTATAAATGAATCCAGTATCTCACCAAAGGGAATACATCCCCTAACTATTAATATATTGTTGAATCTGTTCTTGGGCAAAAAACACTGAAAGTATGACATTCTTGTCATTTAGTTAGTGTTCATTTTCTGTCCCTCAAATACCTTGGTACATAGCCGTTAATGTCTACACAGCTGGCAGCAAACGAGAGCAGCAGAGAGATGAGCTATTCTCCTCCCTGGTGTCATACAGCTTGTTGGTGTTACAACGCCTCAGGTGTGAATGGGGGGAGTGTAGGGCTGTTTGATTATGGGTGTTGTGTTTTTTTTTCTTTCATATTCTTTCACGCCGGTCACTGGAAGTTCAGCAATGGTACATCCAGTGACCAGTATAAGAGAGTAGAGGACTCAGAGGACCTGTATGAAAGAACAGTTGCTTTACGTAAAGGAAGATCAACACCCTGAGCCAAAGCAGCACCATACAGTAAATACCAATAATAAAAATCGCAACCTTCTCAGAGCACAAGCGCACTGCTCTAACCACTAGGTTAAGACTCCCCAAGTTAATAATAATGACAGGTTTACTAAGAAATCACTATCTACCACCAAAGAAGTTATGTAGACCCGATCAGTGTCATATTCAGAGGTTTTGTTTGAAAATAGACATGAATGAGTGCTGCAGAGGTTGAAATGATGGGCGCCAAGCTGTTATTGCTAAGGCCATACATATTACATTGGTCTATCAAGGTTCCTCATATCTGATCCTCGAGGTCCAGTGTTCCGCACCTTTTAGTTGTGTTTCTGTTTCAGCACACCTGAGTCAAATAATAAGGTCATTAGCAGGACTCTGGAAAACCTGACATCAACTGAGGAGGCAATTCAATCATTTGATTCAGGTGGGCAAGCAGAGACGCATCTAAAAGATGCAGAACACCAGACCCTCGACCAGAACTGAGAAACCCTGGTATGCATTGCAGTTGTTTGAGAAGCGGACTAACACCAGGCTCACACTGAAACCCGAATCATTAAAATCGATGGGTACACTTGAATCAGCCGCGATGCAGTGTGGGTGCAGTAACCAAGGCCATGCAGATCAACTCTTTCTGCAAGAAGGAAGTTAGGCTGGAAACAACACGGTCTCTGCATCAAGCTTCCAAATGCCGTTAATTTCAGATTAAAATCAACCCAGCAACATGCGTTAACTTGAATTGTGAAAATAAGACAACAAAACGGGGTTATTATTTAATAAAATTGGATATTTATGAGCACCGATAACGATTTTTGCCTGACAATTGCAGAAGTAGCGTGATCCCATGTGAGCGTTTTTTCGCAGCAAGGACAGCTTAGTTGTAGTGTTCAGTGTGAGGGACTTTCTACAGATTACCAGCACTACAACTGTACAGCAGCTGCACCACAGTCAATGTAAACCCAGCATAGGGGCAGGGATTACTGGAACAAAGTCCTGTGCTCTGATGAGACAAAAATGAGCCTATAAATAAGTGAGTCTTTGTCACAATTTGCACCTTTTCCTTCAGGGTGTGCTCCCTTTTAATTCCAGGGGTTTATAGGTTAATGGCTGTGTGCTGAGATTCTTGCAAGGGACATAACAAATATATATTTTAATTAATATGAGGGGTGGAATCATTTTGTGAGATACTGTATCTGTATATACTTTTTAAGGTTTACTGCAGCATTTACATATATGATCAGCTGCTCATATTGTAGAAATTTTCTGATAAAGCTTTTAGAAAAATGACCTGGACCTTTGGACCTTTTTCAGTTTTTAGAGATCTGGATCCTGTTTCAGGATTACAGTATATAATAACCAAAATACTAATTCCATTATAAACACAGAGTTCTGCTGATAAATCAATTTTTAATATATTTGTTTTCCCAGACCGACTATACTTTCAAAGTTGTCTTTCTAATAGAAATATCCAGAGCATTATGCAGTTCTTTGTGAGTAAATTATCTCACAGATAGTTACTCAAAAAACTGATATCTGTAGTTTTTTTTTTTTTTCATGGCTGTTCAGTGACATTTGAAATCAAAAAAGTCCAGATCTACTGGAGCTTATTATCTCTGCAAACCCCGGGGCCAGCATGTGACGTGGCGCTCTTTTAAGAACAGGTTGAAAAGTACAGGAACTATAATGAGGCCATTTACATCTTTTTCTGTCAGCGCACACAGCCATAAGCTGAGGGTGACGCAGTGTCTTCCCTATGGGGCCAGTAATTCTCATTAGCAGAGAAAATCCCATAATGTTCTATATTTCTGATCAAATTTTAATGTACCAGGGTTGGCTTATGTAACCTATTCTGAACAATCTGCTGTATTTTCCTGTATGCATGTTTAATTGGTGACTTGACATATGTTAAATTTTTTTATTTGAATGACATGCCTCTTTTAATTCCCACCATAATGTGTTTGTTTATTTTAGATCAGATGTGTTTGGACAGATTCTCCCACAGTTGGGGAAAGACTGGACCCATCAGGGCATTGCCAAGCTGTACCACTCTGTGGCCGAGTAAGTGCACAATAACAAGGATTAATTACAGGGACAGAGTGAATGTTTGGTCAGTGGTTAGGAGTGCCCATCTTTGATTCCCAGTTGCTTTCTGTGGAGTTGATATTTCCTCTCAGTGTTTGTGTGGGATGCTGTGAAGTGGATGACTCATTGTGCTCAGTTATAACCACGACTTAATTCTTGCTAAAAGAAACATTAACTGATTTTCTAAGAGGTGATTAAATTTGTAGTCCTATATTTGCTGTAGTCCTACAGAGATAAATAAATTATAGCCACACGGGAGAAACTGATGACTAGGACAGTTACTGTCAATGCAATCTATCTGGAAGTTGTTGGCCATAATGTTAATGGTTTTTAGCCTTTTTATGAGTGCTCCTCTCTCATTTGCAGGAATGGCTATAAATTCTTGTACTGCTCAGCTCGGGCTATTGGCATGGCGGACATGACGAGAGGCTACCTGCAGTGGGTCAATGACGGAGGCACCATCCTACCACGGGGGCCTCTAATGCTGTCTCCCAGTAGCCTATTCTCTGCCTTCCACAGGTACAGTAAAGTGCAGCAATCCCCATCCATCTCCTCCTCATAGTTGTTGGATATTTTCACTTCTCCTTACTTAATGTAACATTATCTGTTAGAAAACTAGGTCTTATATTTCTCCATTTAAGTTTAAATCATTTCTTGGGTGAATATATACATCATGCACATCACTTGACGAGGATTAACGTCCAGAATCGGCTAAAACTGGACATTTTACTTGTATATATATGACAAGTGTAGAAAAGAAAAATGAGCTGGGAAGCATCTTGTAGGAGGTTTATAGAGTCTGCTAAAGTTGTCCCTTCACCCTCCTTCGACTCAATGTTTTAGGACTCCACCTGGTGATTAACTGTTTAGCAGGTTTCTTCTATAACGGCCAAAAACATCACCCACCAGTTTAAGGCTCGTCAGCTTTCGAACATCATGTCCTCCTAATAACCTGTTTTTGATTTAAAATCCAACTTTTATAGTTTATTAACAGATATGATCAGAAATATTACAGAAATGGCTTCAGCTGCAGTAGATCTGTTTATAATCCAAATGAACCCTGTTTCACTTTATATTGAATCATCATGTGGCAAAGCAGTGGAAATATATTTTTACAACCTTGAAATCTATACAATGTAGTTACCATGGAAACTTTATTTTATTTTTTAATTTGTCACGTTGATTTGCAATTGTGGCTTTTTAAGGTGTGCCACAATTTCTTTGCCCTTAATAGGTTAATGTAGAGTAACTTTACCATCTGAGTAAATTATTTCTCAACCAGGTTGAGATTTGATCTTTGAATTGGGCTTTGCTTTTTTTTTTTTCTACCAAAAAAAAGGGAAATTGTATATATTTTGATAGACCAGAAGGTAGGCAAAAATATATATATATATATCCTAGATATATATTGATCAAATTTATAGTGAGGACTCATGAAAGTGTTTATTTCAGAGAGGTCATTGAGAAAAAACCAGAGATCTTCAAGATTGAATGCCTTACGGACATCAAAAACCTGTTCCAGAATAACAAGCAGCCTTTCTACGCCGCCTTTGGGAATCGAGCTAATGTGAGTTAATGCCTTTTTGAAAATCTCACACTCCCATACTTTAAAGTGCGTGTTTTCCTACATGAACTGTTTTATTTATTGCAAGCCAATGCACTGAAGGGTGTATTGCAATGTCAACATGACTCTTTGGCTATCAGTTAGGAGACACAAACAAGTGAAATCAGTACTGGGCTGAACCCGAGCTGAGGTCTCCTTCTACGAATGAGCCTTTGTGACCTCATCTGTGGAAGGGAGGGAAGCATTGGCAGAGCAGCGCATCATCCTATTCTGTCTTCAGCTGCATAAACACCTACACCCCATGAAGCAACCATAGAAACTCTCCATGTTGCTCAGCAGAGAAAACAAAATACAATAAAAACACAAAAACTGGTACTTCTGAAATATTTCGAATGAATGCTTTTGTGGAAACAGAAAAAAAGAGATTTGTGCTTAGTTTTATAATTGAAGTCATTTCAGTTTGCATTGTTTATGTGAGGCTATTTTCAACATTTCTGAGTTGCTTTTTAGAGACTTAGGAAAAACTAAAGAACTTAGAATACACTTTAAGATTTATTTAATTTTTTTTTAAGAGTGAAAGAATGCCTGAGGTTTATTTCACACTACAGAACACACATACTGAAAAGACTTCATATTCCATTTAGATCTGTTTAGGCTCTAATGTTTTAGCATGTGCAGTAAGCCTCTCATCATGGTCTCCATTTAGGATGCGTTTGCCTATAAAGAGGTTGGAGTCCCACTGTGCAGGATTTTCACCGTTAACCCCAAAGGGGAGCTGATCCAGGAGCAGACAAAGGGAAACAAGTCCTCGTAAGTGGATGCTTAAAATTGTATGATCTCACTGTTACTCCACATCAGAGAGATGTTTCTTCACTGCTTTGCATTAAACATCAAAGCTTTAAACCTGCTTTTTAATGCTTAGATAGCTCCATTTATTTTTTTTCCTATTGTTCTTCAGCCATCTAATAGGTTTTCTGTTAACACCTATTTTGTAAACATTTTCTGCACCATGTTATGAAATCTACTTTAACTTTGTCCTATATAGAAAAAGCTATACATCCAATTCCATTATTATTGATCCCATTTATCCAATCTTTGTCTCTACAGCTATGGCAGACTTAGCGAGCTGGTAGAGCACGTGTTCCCTCTGCTGAGTAAAGAGCAGGCCGAAGCATTTTTGATGCCCGAATTCAGCTCATTCTGTTATTGGAGACAGCCACTGCCAGAAATCAACCCTGATGAACTGCTCTAATGCTGCACAGATGCTCACCCAGCCATCCATCTACCTGGGTCAGGACTGTGTGCAGCTCTTTAACACATGTGGACTGGATAGAATAGCACTTAGACACACACACAGCTCTATAATTACTTTACCAGAGGGACAGGTTTAAGAGTAAAGTAAGACATAACTTGAAAAAATGTATTTATTTTAACATCAGCTAAAGCTTCACAGACTAGTCACCTACTAATGCCAAGTCGCTCTACTCCAGGATCAGTCTGTAGTTGAGCTCATTGTGCAGGGATAGGAGATTAAATTCAATCATTTTATCAAAGAAAATAATTTTGGTGACACAAAATTCTCCTGATTTACTTTCCTTTTCATTTGACACATTTCCTGTTAACTATAACTTGAGGGAAGAGTTTGGCACCAAGCCAGAGTAGTGAGTACGGAAAGTTAGCTAGCAGATATCAGATTGCACCAAACGTGAGATGCTCTCACTTATTTTGCAGGAGCTTACTGTAGCAAAGCTGCTTGAGGTTTAGTTTTTTCTTGTCACTCTCTACTTGCATAGCACATTTTATTGGCTTGTAAAGGTCATGAACTAAGCACATGTTGAGTTATGTTTGGTATTTTTTAATCACATAAAAACTCTGAATATGCCAAGAATGTATGGATCCACACTTAGCTGGGATTTAATGAAGCAGCTTAATGGTATATTGTCCAGCAAAGATGTTTGTTCTTTGCAAATCAGATGTGTTCGGTTGTCAACATAGTCATTATTTAAGATTAATATATTATTTTATTGATTTCTGTTGTAACGCTGTTGCTTGTCAGGAAAAAACAAAAAACAATTTATATTCAATGTAATAAATACTTAAAAAGGTATTTTGTGTGGTTGGCCACAGATTGTTATGCGCTTAAGCAGAGCCTCTCGGCTTTGTCTATTTCTCTTCAGTCGCCTCTCCCACAGCAGGCTGTTTAGTTTGTTTTATGGTGAAGCTATCAATATGTAAGGTGCGTATAGATTCCCAGAAAACCTCAGAATATGTCAACATTAGAGCTGACACTCATGTTTCATCAGCGAAGATTGTCCGATCTTAAAGCAGCTAAAGTTTAAGGATTTCCTTTTGAAAACCCTTCCCTGAGAGATTCTAGGATGGTGTTTGGTATGAGTGTGTATGTGTGTGCACACAAAAATCACTGAGTGCTGCTGTTGGGGGTGGCTGTACCCCTTCTTTTTTTCCTCCCTCAGTGGTTTTACTCAGACTTGTTCATTGCACTTTGTCTAAGCTGTAGACTTTTACTTGCCTCTAACCAACATGCACTTCACTCACAATCTAAATAGGAAGTAGTCTACGCCATTATGACACATAATAAGTAAAGTTTTATCTTCAGCATCTGTGATTTTTATCTGGAATAGAATGATCTAAGGAAGTGTTTAATAGTGGCTGCTTTGTGTTTTGCAGGTTGGAAGTAAGAGTAAAAAACTAAATCTTACAAAAATATGATGGGGGTAACATCCCCACCACCTTGTAGTTGTTTGTGTGCATATTTGTGCATCTGTATGACCGACGAGATTAACTGTTTTTGTTCCTGTCATTAACAGAGGACGAGAAATCCTTTCTAGTTTGGACATAAACAGGAAATACTTGACTGTCCAGGAAGCTTTTAGAAGCCCTTCTTTGGCATTATGTGTAATTTAGAAGATCATGATTTAATGACCAGGATGGCATCTTTCTCCAGAGTAAAACTTTAAATGCTCATAAGGAAACTGAACAAACAGAACCAGTTATCGGGAATTAAAAAAAAGCACAACTTAAGAGAGTGATGGCTACATCTGGTTTCTCTTAGTTCTTTAATATTGCTCTGATGTTTTGTGGTTAACAATGAGTGTTTCTTTTGTTTTTTTATTCCTCAGCTTCTTCTCTACAAAGTTCAAAGTTAGATATGTTTATCTTAGAATTAACAAAAACAATTTCATTCTTTCTATGAAAGTAAAACATATTGTGTGAAAGAATCACACTTCATCCTCTGATTCCAGGATATAAAGTATAAATTGTTTGTTCTTACTGCTGTGAAAAAGGATCCGGTATATATGCTGATAATCACATCTTTGTGTCTCGTTGCCTTGTTCTTCATGGTATTTCTTACAAAAGTATATCATTTGTGTTTTTTTTTGGATGTAATGCTTGATATTTGATTGTTTCTGATTAATATAAATTATGTTATGCTGTTTGATTTATATAGAAATGTGGTTAAAAGTATGTATGAAGAAACAAATCTGTGGTAAGAAGATGAATACAGGCTTAACGAGACTAGCAATATGTGGCTTGTCCCATTTGGAATAAATATCTAACAAATCCATTTGCCTCTGAATTGCTTCTCATTTTAAGCTGATATAGTTCAAAGCAATCATGAGCTGACTTTGAGTCTGATATTTGATTTCAATGAAGAAATGCATAAAATGAATTTAGCTCAACCCCCTTAGGTGTTTCATATTCAGTGGGTTTTACTGAATATCACAAAGATCAAAGATGAATAGTAACAGTAAGCAAAGCAGTTGTGAATAAAAATCAGCGTTTGTCTTTTAGTGTTTAACTGAAACTGATCTAATGTCTAAGTTCTTTGGAAAATTTTCTAGATCTGAGGGATAAGGAGAAACTTTTATCCACACCCCATTTATGTAATAATCCCAGAGAGAGTTTGTTTTTCCCCTCCTAACACAGTCTTTTTTTACTGCAACGTCTGAGACCAGCGAGGTTTATGACATCGTTCAGAGAAAATCTTATGTTGCAATCTTTCATTATTAATCTGCAGTTCCTTCCTTGGAATTTTGTAAAGAAACATTTTTTTTATTGGTTTAGTTCTTGACAATATTACAGTGCCTGTTCCTTTCCACTCCTAAGCTTAGTCATATTGTAAATCCCTTTATTGTCCCACAGTGTGGAAATCGTTCTCTGCATTTTGACCCATCCCCTTGGGGAGCAGTGGGCTGCCATTGTGTGGCGCCCGGGGAGCAATCAGGGGTTAAGGGTCTTACCAGAACCATGGTGGAGGTTGTGGGGATCACACCGGGTAGTTGCGACCTCCTCAGAGCACAAGCGCACTGCTCTAGCCCATTAGGCCAGCACTCCCCTATTTTGAGAACGAAGTAGAAGTTAAATATGGATTAATTAAACATTTTTTTAGATCAAATCTACAATTGTTGTCAGGAACCTCAGGGTTAGCACTATAGAATCCCCTTGTATCCTTCCTACAATGATGGGTTTCCTAAATATCAGGCTCTCAGATCAACCTCCATGTCCTGCAGAAGAGAAGCAACCCGATAGAAAACTGTTAGCATTACATTTCACAGTGGGAATGGAGTATTCTGGGTAATGTGCAATCTTTTGTAATCTCCCACAAATACATTTTTGTGGAACAAAAAAGTTTTTTTTGGTTTCATCTTAGCAGAGCACATTCTTCCTTGACTGCTGTAATGATTTAAAGAGGAATTCTTCTGGATTTCTTCATGCCCCATCCATAAAAACCAGATTAGTAGGATCTACTGTTAATAGTCAACAAATCCTCCCATTTGGGCTGAGTGCTGTATCTGCATTCTTTTATTTGTTTTGCTTTTGAGTTCAGATCTTTGGAGCCATAAATTCAGTGGCTCCACAGATAAACTCCTTGCATTTAGGATGATGAACTAAGCCGTGCTCATCATAGCTTCCTCTCTGATCTACCAACATGTTAGTTGGTCATCAGACATTCAAACACCTTAACATTATTTTAGGTGCACCTGATTCCACAAACATATTGGGGTAGCACATTAAATATGCTTTTATATATATATATATAAAAAATGCTTGCCAATTTTCAAAGCTTTAATTGCAAAACATTGAAATCTGTGTATCATGTTTCCTTCCAGTTCACAATTAGCTACATGTTGATTTCAGCCTGTCATGATAAAAAAAAACAAAAAACTCAACAGTACATTCAGCTTTCTTATAAACACAAAGTTGAAAAATTTAATGAGTATGAGACTCTAGCAAGGCATTGTGTTTTCCAGTTGTGGCTGACCAGTGGTAGTTCTATGAATGAGCTCTTCCTTTTTTCTCTCTCACTGCAATTAAAATGCAATAAATTATTGGATATCCTGGGGATGGCTCAGGGTGTAACTCTCTTTTTAATGTGACCCTGGGAAACTGCCCTTATGGCCTATATCATACAGTGCCACTGTACCTGATGTCCATAGTCTAAAGATGAGTTTTAATCAGGTTTTTATTGGCAAACAGATATTTACAATAGACAAAAAAGTTATTTTCACAATCAATATATTAGATACAAACCCAGCCTCTTGTGCTCAGGTGTCTTTCTATTAGTGGCTTGCAATGTAACAGCTTAATTGAACATATAACTGGGAGTATTCACACAATAACAGCATCACATACCAGCATCCCAATAGGTCAGTGTATAATATGGTTTCTCTTTCATTTTGTCTAGTCCAGGCATATGATAACAATGAGGTCCTTGCTGGTATCGCTCAGCTGCGTTCTGACTATCTTTCGGCTGCCGGTGAGTACAAATAGATGGCATTGTAGGTGGAAAGGACCACTCCGGTGTCGGATGTGGCCAGCTGGCCTCCGGTTCTCACCAGACTGACTCTGTCTCCTTTCCTCAGTGGTAGAATCAGACTGAAGGACACAGTTCCCCCACAGGCGCAGTTGGTGCTGCCTGAGGCTCTGGTTGAGCTCTGCAGCTTGTGAACACTGCGGTTAGAAACGGACAGCACTGCTTCTATGCTCTCCCCTTCTTTTGCAGTCAGCAGACCTGAAATCAAGTATCGGCCTTTGTGCGGTACAGTGAATATTCCTGTGGATGAGGAAAAATGTAGTATTAGTGTCATGCTGTTAAGCCGGCTGAATGCTCAGAAGTCTGCTGTGTTTTATGCATCCACAGCAATGTTGTAAAAAAAAAAAAAAAAACTTTGTTTCTTTTCTTTTTAACTTTAGATCAGGCTAGATTTTTCATTCTTTAGTTTAGCTAGGATTACCAAAATGGCCTGTTTTCCTGTTTTTTTCCCCCCTCGACAACTGCCCTCACCTTATAAACATTAAAAAGGATGGCTTTAACCATTGTAAAACGACTTGATAATGAAAATGCAATGATGTTTTAATACATTTCTAAAAGACAAATATGAGACGACAAAATCTTCAGTCTGAAAGTCAAAGCTTAACAGCATCACAGACCTGAATTCTGCCAAAATGCTTATTTGTACATCTTAAGAAAAAAAAGCCCCATCATTTCATATCCGTTTGGCTCCCCATGCACCAGCTCTGTGTCTATGTCACGATTCATTAAAAAGTTTTATTGCTTCTCTGTTAGTGTCTCTCTTTGACATCAAGTCTATATCAATGCTGTTTTTGTACAGCATGTGGTCAGTCAAAGCAGATTTAAGTTAAA